CACTCTGGGGTCCGATTTTGCAGTGTGTGCGAGCACTGACTTGATGGTTGGAACCGAATTGATTGGCATGGATTTAGTTGTTGCGATTGAGACGCGGTGATTTGTAGGATGACCTGATGAGGGCAAGCGATGAGGAGGTTAAAAGTATTTCATCATTTCACTACATATCTCACACATGCTGTATACATACGAAGGCCAAAAAGTGCATGCTGCGGTGAAAATAGAGACGTGGAAGAACAGGTAGTATTAGGAAAAAAGCTTCTTTTGGCAGCCGCTGTACACACGCTTCGCACGCCGTTGGAAGATTCTTTATATCAAAGGACACGTTCCAATTCCCAATCCCTCGTTGGGCCCAAGAAAACGTTAAAAGAAATAAGAGGACGAAAAGACGCTTCGCTGGTGGTGTGTTCCATGGTCTCTTCAGCCCGCCCGCAGGGTATCAAAGAGGTAGCGACCCGGGCCTGAGCAAAACCACTTCTCGACGAAAGAAGCGCAAACATGCAAAGCAATGTCCACAAACGCCTGTGGAGGACATGAGGCATGCAACCCGTGATTCAAGATCAGTTGGAAGATGTTCGTTTATCCCGCCGCCATTGCACTTATATCAAACCGCACAGCCGCAGATTCTCCTGAATAATGATGTCTAGAACATGTCAGCGCGATACAAGCACGGGAATGTTGGGCAATCGTACCGTTTACTGCAGCCATGACGAAGCGGATTTGCATAGTGTCTGTGGCGCAGGTGAAATGGGTGTAAATTTGCTTTGTCTCGTGTTGGTTGAGCGAGACGAAGCGGTTCAGGATGTAGTCGCACGCAGCAGCGTAGTCTGGGCCGCCCTCATAGTCGGGGAAGTAGTTCTTCATGGGGCTGACGGGCAGCTTCTCCTTGAAGCGATCGATCTTGTTGAGGAACAGGATGATGGATGTCTTGACGAACCACCGCGAGTTGCAGATGGAGTCGAACAATGTGAGGGCTTCTTGCATACGGTTGACGGTCTCGTCCTCGAACAGCAGCTGGTCGTACTCGGAGATGGCGACGAGGAAGAGAATGGTGGTAACGTTCTCGAAGCAGTGTATCCACTTCTTACGCTCAGATCGTTGACCACCGACATCAAACATGCGGTAAGTAAGATCGCCAATGATGAAGGTGGTTTCGGTAATACCAGTCGTCTTGACACGCGATCGGAGCACGTCCTGGTCGTTGGGAATGTAGTCGGGCGCAGCGATACGGTCGATAGAGTCGAAGTAGCTGTGACGGTTAGCGATGTGGCGCACTCATTGCACGGAGCATGCTCACTATTTAGCAGAGTCGTTGAGCTGGTACTCGCGCGAGCGCTGGAAGCACTGTTGCACACCAGCATCCTTCCACAGAACCGAGATGGCGTTTCCAACCTCCGGAGGCAGGCTGTCGCCCTCAATCTGTGCCGGCTGCATGAAGATGGTCTGGACGTGGTATTCGGCGCGCTGGTCGTCGAGCGGCAGCTCGAGCGACTCCATAGCCTCGAGGATGACGCGCATCGACTGGACGGTGTTGCTGAAGATGATCTCCTTGAACGACTCGCGCTCGTCGCGTGAGTATCCGCCCTCGTGGATGAGCTTCATCTGCTTGAGGATGGTCGACTTTCCGGACTCTCCGGCTCCTGCGCGCTGTTAGAGGCCGACGAAGTGACGGGCGTCGCAATACTGACCGAGGAGCAGCATCTTGATCTCGTTGCGCTGCATCATCTTGTCGCGCTTGAGCTGGTTCTCAATCTCCTCGTTCCTCTGCTTGCCCTCCTTCTCCTCTGTGCTCATTCCGCAACCCATGATGGCGGTAGGGGACGGTGTCCGGGGTGATTATTAGGGTAAGGTGAGTGATGTTCCGTCGAGGCCGGCCAATGCGGAAATCTGGAGGGCAGAGTCAATAGGAGCTCAATGGCAGACGCTGTCGTGCGAGTGCAAAGGGTTGGCGACTTTAGCCGTGGGCGAAACGAGGGCAAGCGATGCCAATGTTTGCTCGCTCGCGCTCGACGGTGGCGCTTGGGTCCCAGAGCTCAGGCAACGGCAGGCGCGACGGGGCCTCGAGAAGCAAAGGGAGGCTCACCTGATATTACAAGACGACCCCCAATGGAAGGCGCGGTGGGCAGCGGTCGAACGTGGAAGGGATGAGGGTGGAGGACGAAGGTGAAGGGATGGCTGGCGTATGAGAGACGACGAGGCTCGCTTCGCTCCGAGGTCTCAGGGTTGCTGCAAGGTCGGCTCGGGGGTGGATCGGCTGGGGGAAGCAACTTTGGCTGCGCGCTCGCCGACGTGTCGCAGCAAGAAACAAGAGGCGCGGGAAAAGGGCCGGGAATTGCACTGCAGCGATTGCGACGAAGTATGGCCGGCAGGAGCGTCGATTGACGTTTGGGAGAAGCAAAGAACAAGAGGCGAGTATGAAGAAGGCTGATGAAGGCCGCGAAAGGAGAGGCGCTTGCCCGCGAAAGGAAGCATCGCCAGGCCTAGCTAGCCTGCAGGTGCTCCCGGGCCACTCTACCACCAAACCCTCCGATGACCATCTTGCAACGACTAGGTGCTAGCATCACTAACATCTTTTGCCGATTCCCCCTGGCTGGTTCGCCATCTTCGCTGCTTCTGGGCTGCCCACTACGGACCCAACACCACACCCATTTCGACGTGCCCGCCCGCCTGTTCGTCCGCCCGTCTGGCACCTGTTCGCTCACCGTAAGTTGGCGTTTGCCATTGGCCACCGGGCACAGCAGCTCTGTTCGCTGCAGCTCGCCCGCTGCTTGCTGCAGGCCCTGGTGTCGCCTCCTCAGCCTCTGTTGCACTACGCTGTTTGACATGGAAGCGCTGTCGACAACACCGCCAGATGCGACTCCCGTAAATCCCGTCCCGCTTGAGTCTGACTAGCTGTGCTTCTAGAAGGTTTATGGAAAATGAGGACCCATCGAAAGAAGAGGGCCCTGACGCTTGGAGCCGGCAACGCATCCAGGCACGGTGCCTTGAAACGCTGCTGCGTTTGGCCTCTCTCTCTCACCCGTCCTGTCTTGCGTCTGCAGGCAAGGACCCGGCCTCGCACTGCATCGTTCTATCTGCTGCTGTTCTACCTCCATCAGCAGCCCGTGGTGGTGCGCTGACAGGTTTGGTATCACCCCTCTGCCAGCCACTCGAGTCGCTCCTCGGCCAAGCACTGACTGGGGGGCTATTGACTCTAGTCCCCTTGCGGCTAGCTCCGCAACACACGAACATTCGCCAAACGTCCGTCGCATCGCTTCATCTCCCCGACTCGCGCGCTTCGGCCAATCATTGCGCCATCAGATTTTTGGATTTTCCAAAGTTTCCTCGCCTCGCCTTTCTGCCGTTGCACTCGGCTGCCTGCTCGTCATGTCGCCTCAGGTCTGGGTGGATGCTGCATTTATGCTCGTCTGGGGTACTCAACACCCTTATGAATGTGAACGTGTCGCGGCCATAACTACTGCTATCTCTGTCCCGTTCTTCACGACACTATAAATCTCTAATCTGACCGACAGCCATGGCTCAGCCGTCCCGTGAACACTCTGTCCTGAATACTACTCCTTAACAGCGTCGTGCTGCTCCATACCCTTCTCCTAGGATGATGCATCAACAGTCTCAACTTCTGTCTCAACTCTTGCGCACAGCCCTGAGTCAGACCGACGGGAGGACCCACGAACGACACGTGGGAGCAATGACCACCCGTGAATGCCGCTGAATAGGGGGGCAGCTCTGGCCACGCGAACAGGTGACTACGTTTACACCTCGTTCATGGCTCGAAGCACGAGCATTCCCCCAGCTTGTGTAATGCCGAACCTTATAGCCTCTACGCCTTCGCAGGTACCGTATCGTGGTTATATGCGTGTCCTCCTCTTCGATAATTTCATCTCCTGCTATCGTCAAGATCTGCGTCCCATGACGGAGTCTGACTGTATTCCATCTCTTTCTCCCCGTGAGCTCCACCTGCCTACGCAACATGCAGTCCAAGTTACCCGCTTTGCTAGTCACGTCTCCACATGGCGACGACGTTCCTGCGCATTTAGCCATCTGGTAACCGATTTGGGGGTATGCCGGAGAACATCCATATTTCTCTACCTGAAGCTCTGTTATCTCTGCCTCTGGGTACCGTTACAAGTCATGCATACTGCAGTGACGACGGCTAGCTGACGAGCTGACTGACGATCGCCTTTGTAATTGCTGACTTGCCATGGTATCGTTTTGATCAGTGTGCGATTTGAGCTAAGACTGAAATTGTCATTCTTTGCGAGTTACTCCGATCTTCAATCAAAAATCGGAACGGATATGGTTCACTCATAAGGTAGCATCAGCTGTCGCAGCCGTTGTCACAAAGAAAGACGATAATGCCAAACAGACGCGCACAGCGAAATGACGGCCCAGAATAGTCCATGATCTCGTCAGTCGAGCTTCGCGTCACCGACGCGAACGAACGCCAATGACGCGGTTCTCGGGTAGTCGCTAACGCTGGGTTGCAGCGTGTTTTCGTCCCACGTATTGCACGTAGGCCAAGGCTCGCTTTTGTGTTCTGCTCGAAGTCTATACAGACGCCGTGCAACGACTGGCTGACGTGGTAGACTAGCCCGAACCCCAGCGCTTAGCGCACCACGCGAGCGCCTAGAATAGCATCTTTGCACCACCACATCTTCGAAGCGACGACTCTCCAGTCAATCAGCCTCTCCCAATCCTGCGAGCGCTTACCATGGGTGTCAATGACCTCGAGAAGCCGCTATCGCGGCGCCTCAGCGGTTCCTCAGGCAGGGCTCTGACCTGGCGGCTGGCAACGATGCCAATACATATTGTCAGCCTACCATCCCCCACTTAATGGCTTTTGTATACATCAACAAAACTTTGTGAGACGGGGGACGCGTTACGAATTTCCTTGAGTTTCTCTCCTTCAATTTCCTTGTTCATTCCGCTGCAGGTTCAGCGCTTCTCCGCATCTTCCCTCATGTCTAGATCTCTTAGTGAGTAAACTCTTGTAATACGTCCATCCTCGAAGATGTAGCTGACATTGGTACAGATATTGTACAACTATGCCTATGAGCCACTTCAAAAGACTATGGATCTCATCAGTCTTTATAATACTAGCTTCGCCGATGCAGGCAGCTCCCACTGTCTCTTCCACACCAAACTCGCTCCCGCAAGCGCTTCAACAGAATGTACCCCAATGCGCACAATCATGTTTACGGTCTTCGCTGGACGAAAGATTTCCCGTAGCATGTTCTGGTCAAGAGAGTCTTCAATGCCTCTGTTCTCGTTATAGTAATGTCGGAGAGTCACTTGGCGAAGTGGCTCTCGGCTGCATCTACCTATCGTGCCCCATGGACGATGCCCAGGCATCACTCAGTTCAACCTACGGGATTTGTCTGGGGCAAAAAGATGCGGTCATGCCGACCAAGAGTGTTCTCACGTACGTCGTGACCAGCGCAACTCGCACCATGTCGCCGACTATCAGTCTACCAACCACAACGAGCACACCCATCATCACATCCTCTTCACGAATTCAAAGCAGCTCTACACAGAACGCTTTTGCCGATACTGTTTCTTCACTCCCGTCTGCTACTTCGTCGGCAACGTCTTCGCCTGTCGCAGCAACCACGGCTTCGAACAATCCTCCCAGGATGACACCTGCGCAGATTGCTGGACTTTCCGTAGCGGCAGTAGCAGCTTTTGTTATGGCTATTGGGCTAATGGCGCTCAGTGTTTGCTTGCGCAGACGAAAGGAGCGACGAGTGGTCTTCGATGGAGACGAAAAGGGAGAGACTCAGCGAGGAAAGCAACTTTCGACAAGATTCTCGCACTATGTCCAAGTAGGACACGGTACTGAACTACCGAAGCAATTCCCCTCGGCGCCTCCGCGAGCTCTTCGCAGGGGCAGCAAGCAGGGCCCAGCACATCCAGCGCAACGACTCGGGGTGGGAACTTCCAACAGTTCCTCGAATTCCTCGTTGCCACTGGATCAGATAGGTCTGGCCATCAGTGCCGAGCTGGATGGAAAGCCCGTGGTATCTCAGAAGGCGCCAAACCCCAGCACAACGCATCAAAAGGCACCTCTCGCGGCACAATCGCATACCAATGCAGTCTTTCGGCCTGTCAGTACGATGACTCAGGAGACTGTCTTCGAAGAAGATGAGACCTCGCCACACCGGAGATCCTCGATGCTGTTGCCCACGCCTCCAGTACCTATTCCTCCGATCCGCGCTCTACAGCCCTCTAGACGAGCACCAAACTTCGCCGTCAACCAGCGTTCAGTAGGACGTGGATCCGAGTTGTTTCTCAATATCCCTGTTCGTCACGAGAGGCCCCAGCCGAAGCAGATTGCTGCGGCAGCGACACGTTCTCATGGTGCACCATTACCACCTCCAGTGCAGCCTGCAACACGCCCGCGCTTGGCACCACCTTTCCAGATGACGTCTACAGCTACTTCGTACGAATCAAAAGCCACAACTGCTAGCTCGCGCAACGCAAGTACATCCGGAGACATCATCGACTATTACTTTTCTACTGGCCAGAGCCGAGACCAGACACCCAAGGCCAGTCCAGCGCACATCGTCCGCCCAAAAGAGTCACCGAAGACTGTACAAATCAAACCCAAGAAGTCGCACGGTAGCACACTGTCGCGCACTACATCGCGCACTTCGACAAACCTGCGCGATTCCCTGAACAGTCAAACATCTTTTGAGACGACAAATGCCAACGACTCCACACCTGAAGATGAGGACGAAGACAAGCAACTATCGGATGACAGTGCCAGCAACAAACAGCCACTATCACCTGTCGCTGAGTCGCCAATCTCCAAGCTGCGATACCCAAAGGTGCCTCGGTCTTCAAATCAGCTGGTACCTCGTAGCCCAAAGGGTTCACCACAGCAGCAGAACTTCAGAAGCCCGCGTAGAGCCCCAGACGCGTCAACACTCCTCCAGAAACGCAACAACGCTCTTCCGCCACTACTACTCGAGTCTCGGCCTAGACTAGAGAGCCCTCACAGAGACCCATTTACGTCCCCGCCGCGTGTGACCAGCCCTCCGCGCAGAGCTCGCTCACACATGCGCAGCAATAGCACAGAGTCGTGGAGCACGACACCTGCTTCAAAGACGGGCATCGACCGTAAGAGTCGCGTGCAGAGTGGCACTTGGGGTAGAAGCCCAGTCATGTACGAAGAAGACGTCGTGCGGCCGTTGAACGTGAGGAGGAAGAGAGACGAGATGTCCGAGTTGAACATCGGCAGAGATGTAAATGTTGATTTCGACCGGGACGGGTTGAAGAGTCCTGCATGGGTACCCCGACTCACGCCGAGGAAAAAGGGCGATGACTTGTTCCTAGAGGTCGGGTGGAGATGAGGAACTGTGAGGTGAAGTTCGATTCTTGACTACACACCGTTTTTCTTGTGTATAGATTTTCCTAATGAATGATGATGTTGGAGATGGGAAAGGGCGCGGAATTCGACAAGACTGTCATTTTCTTTACATGTTTGTATAGTACGAGATAGATACCCACAGCGCTCATTTATTCTTTTACGTATGTTGAGATTGTAATAATACACTTGTTGTTTTCACATGGTTGACCCGTCAATCAAACAGCCTGGTTGAGCGGCCTTGGTACAGGGACTCCATGGTGTCGAAATGGTGATTAGCCAGCCAGCGGTATATAGCAGCAGCGGGCGCGCTATTTACCCAACTGCCCTAGCAGCCTAGTCTTACGTCGTCGCAGTCTCTCAGCGCAACCGGAGAATAAACAGGTTAAATGTCCGGCTCTAGTCGAGACATGCTGTATTGGGGCTCTCACGATTGAGCCTCATCTACTGAGTTCTGTTTCGGCCGCGGCGCCGATCCCGGGTGTCGCGATAGCCGCCCGGAAGAATTCTGTCTCATCGTGAGTTTTCTGCATGGCGCAACAAGTTGGAGCAAGAGTTTGACAGAGGCTTTCCCTGCGCTATCGGGGCACTGTGGCCCGCCAGTGCGGTCGTTCTCGGCGCATGGCGGATGCAGAGGGAGCAGAGGCTGTCCAGGGCAAGAGGTTAGTAATGGACAGTCACTTGCAGCTGCAGCAGCGCGCCATTGACCGGCGAGACGAGACACGGCAAACCATGTCAGCACACGGCGCAGGCTTACTAAAAACAAGCAGCAGGTTCGTATGCGCGGTGTGCTAGCAGGTGGGATGTGGCATGTTGTGGCAGAAAGTGCGGCGACTGGTTGATGTAATCGGGCTTTGAGAGACCCCACTAAAACGTCCACTCTGGCGTTATGAGTGAGGCAGGCATGACGGCTAGCCACCCCACTATAACTACAAAACCTAAACACCAGCACGTCTGCGACATCTTCTCTTCTCTCAATCTTTTCCCCATCGACAGATCTGCCCATCATGCCGTACGGAAAGACCGATGAGCTCGCTATCAACACCATCCGCACCCTAGCGGTACGTTACATCCTCTTGTTGTTTTGGAGCCCGCCCCACCATTATCAATAGCTACCCCGCTAGCAGTCCTGCTCCCAACAAAAGTGGCAGCAGCTTGTTGGAGGCTGTTCAGGGTCGTTTGAGAGAGATCCAATGGCTGACTTTCGGTGTTTTCGCACAGGTCGATGCCACATTCCAGGCAAACTCCGGCCACCCGGGTGCCCCCATGGGTATGGCCCCGGTGGCCCACGTTGTGTGGAACAAGTTCATGACTTTCAACCCCAAGAACCCCAAATGGGTCAACCGCGACCGCTTCGTCCTCTCGTACGTACTTCTCTGTACTTTCCAACACATACAATGGCAGTCATGGCAGGCTTCGAATCGCGCAATGGTTCTGGGGTGTTTTGGATGAAAAGTTGCGGATCTCCGCGGCGTCGGCAGATAAGAGAGCATGGCTTTCTTGTTATCAGCCGTTGTCGGAGATCCCGTTATGGCTTTTGCACCAGAATCTTCGCCGCGCAGATAGATTGCTTGCATTGGCGTGACCGCAAGATCCCACGTTTTACAAGATGGAAAAGCTGACTGTGTGCCTAGCAACGGTCACGGATGCATGCTCCAGTATGCGTTGATCCACCTCTTCGGCTACAACGTCAGCATTGATGACCTGAAGAACTTCCGTGTACGTGTTCGATATAATTCTACTACCTCTCAAAACTAATTCCGCTGTAGCAAGTCGACAGCATCACACCCGGTCACCCCGAGTCCCACGACACCCCCGGTATCGAGGTCACCACTGGCCCTCTTGGTCAGGGTTTCGCCAATGCCGTCGGTCTCGCCATTGCTGAGAAGCACACCGCCGCCGTCTTCAACAAGCCCGGCTACGAGCTGATCAACAACCACGTCTACATGTTCTTCGGTGATGGTTGCGCTATGGAGGGCATTGCCAGCGAGGCTGCCTCCACTGCCGGTCACTTGAAGCTCGGAAACCTCATTGCCATCTACGATGACAACCACATCTCCATTGGTAAGTTTCGCAAAGAGTTCGAAAGAGAAAACTGAGGACTGACGTCATACAGATGGTGACACCAAGTGCGCCTTCACTGAGGATGTCATGAAGCGATTCGAGTCTTACGGATGGCACGTACAGCACGTCGAGGACGGCGACTCCGACCTCGAGGCCATTGAGAAGGCCATTGCTGAGGCCAAGAAGGTCACCGACAAGCCTTCGATGATCAAGCTCACCACTACCATTGGTTTCGGTTCCAAGCTCCAGGGTACCGGCGGTGTCCACGGAAACCCCCTCAAGGCCGACGACTGCAAGCAGGTCAAGGAGAAGTTCGGTTTCGACCCTGAGAAGATGTTCGCTGTTCCCCAAGAGGTCTACGACATGTACCACAAGCACGCCGCCGAGGGTGCTGCCGCTGAGGAGGAGTGGAACAAGCTCTTCCAGAAGTACGGCGAAGAGCACAAGGAGCTCCACGCCGATCTCTCTCGCCGTCTGACTGGCGACCTCCCCGAAGGCTGGCAGAAGGCCCTCCCCACATACAAGCCCACCGACGCTGCCATTGCCTCAAGAAAGCTCTCTGAGAGCGTCCTCGAGGCGATCCACGACGTCGTCCCTGAGCTTCTGTCCGGTTCCGCCGATCTGACGGGCTCCAACAACACCCGATGGAAGAAGGCCGTCGACTTCCAGCCCCCTGAGCTTGGCATTGGTGAGTGGTCTGGCCGATACCTGAGATATGGTGTCCGCGAGCACGCCATGGCTGCCATCATGAACGGTATGTCCGCATACGGCACCATCATCCCTGCCGGTGGTACTTTCCTGAACTTCGTTTCATACGCCGCCGGTGCCGTCCGTCTGTCCTCTCTCTCTCACCAGCGCGTCATCTACGTCGCTACCCACGACTCCATTGGTCTTGGTGAGGACGGCCCCACCCATCAGCCGATCGAGACTCTCGCCCATTTCCGCGCTCTGCCCAACATGATGGTCTGGCGCCCGGCCGATGGAAACGAGTGCTCTGCTGCTTACTACATGGCTCTTACCTCCAAGGGTACGCCATCCATCCTTGCCCTTACCCGTCAGAACCTGCCACAGCTCGAGGGCTCAACTCTCGAGAAGGCCATCAAGGGTGGTTACGTCGCTCTTGAGGACAAGGACGCCCAGATTACCCTCGTTTCCACTGGTTCCGAGGTCTCTCTCTGCTTGGAGGCTGTCAAGACCCTCAAGGACCAGGGTATCACCGCCCGTGTTGCTTCCCTGCCTTGCTTCGAGGTCTTCGACGCGCAAGACAAGGACTACAAGATGTCGGTCATCCCCGCCGGTATCCCATCGCTCAGTGTTGAGGTCATGTCCACAATGGGCTGGGAGAAGTACTCGCACGAGCAATTCGGTCTCAACCGCTTCGGTGCCTCCGGACCATACAAGGAGGTTTACGCCAAGTTTGAATTCACCCCCGAGGGTATTGCCAAGCGTGCTAAGGCTACCATTGACTTCTACAAGGAGGTCAAGCCTCTCCGATCTCCTCTCGACCGTGCGTTCCAGCAGCTTATCTAAGCGCTTGCGTAGCGTTAGATATGTTTTCTGGAGGTACTTGAGGTTTTGGAGCATCGTTCCTGGCTTTTAATGAGTGATGATATATAAGAAGCGGCAGCCCGCTTCGTGAGGGAGAAGGGAAAGTTATAACCCGAATGTATAGAATTTGATTCCCCCTTTGACAACGTCTAGACTATTCTGTGAATCTCTAACATGCAAGAAAGTGAGCGCTATTTTATCTGTCCACATTCTACCGAAAGTAGTTGTCAGCTAGAGCTGCCAAGTCGTTGTTTAAGAGGACTATTGTTGGTCGCACAAGACTGAACATTCTGTGAGTATTAAATCGCAAATCTGCGCGAAAGCCTGAACAAACAGGATAAACGCCTATTCACTCAGCGGAGATACCGCTGAATCGCGCAGCTATGGAGTGTCTCGAACTTGCGAAACCGAGATCTCCAGTATCATACTATCGCCCATGTTTGGCGCAGGAGACTCTGTCTCTTATACAAATTTATTCGCAGAACGTTTCATATCATGTCTAGTCTCATTGCAAGTTCAATATCTCTCCTTGAATCGACGGCTTCATTATCGCTAACGATATAAGCATATCCTTGGTGACCTGGGGGGCCGAGCTGATCGGTGGAAGATGCTGCACAAGTCACGGTATTCTGTATGAACACACTAGCAAGGGGAGGGGGTTCATGAATCTTTCGCGTTCGATAGGCTGTCAAGTTCTTGATTCCTTAACCGTGATACCGACCTTGAATGTGACTTCGTTACCAGCGTTCAGTATAGCCTACACAACAGTTAGCTTGCTCACATGGCAAGTGATCAACTCCCATCCACGTGCGGAACAAGCAAACGTACTCGTATTGTTATATAAAGAAGGAGTGTACACGCGTGAGTCGAGGAACAATAAGGTCACCTCGTCTTTGAATAGCGAAGGGGTGTTTGACTCAACTTCTCTTGCCTTCACCTGGTATATACACTAAGAAGAATTTCATGCTCACCGTCGATTCTGTCTTACTTTCCACACCTTCAGTGTCTACAAGTTCGCTGTCTTATCACCATCTTCCCTCTTCAACTTCAACTTCATACTTATAACAGACAACCATCATATACAGTGTCATGCCTGATAACTTCGACAACAACAACAGCCCCGACGATGAAGAGCCTTCTGGTGGTGGTGGGTATCGCCCCCTGAAACACCTGGACGAATCTCTGTTCCCAAACAACGACGGGGACTTCGCATCTTCGTTCATGCAGCCACGTGGACCAGCAAGCCAGCTTCACACTCGACGTAAGCCATTGTAACGATACTGTAGTCTTCAATCTAATTTTCATGCGTAGCCTCAGCGGCAAATCCACCCCCATGGGAAGACCCAGCTCAGGCTTGGCGGTACGTGGATGATGACAGGGTATGGACCGGCGAATCTTTCGTAGTTTCTCGTCGTACTCAGCCGGATACGCGGATAGGCAGGGCCAATCCGCAGACCTCTGGATTTTCCACAGCAGCCGTAGCCCCACAAGATCCTGCTCAAATGCAAGCACCGAGAGGCCTACATGGTCCTGGTGTCTTTGACTTCATTGGACAGCCGCAAGCTCCAGTAGGCCTTCAGCAGCGTGGACTAGATAGTAAGATATCCCAAAACACCTTGGTAGTCTTCCCGCTAAATCATTATCTCGCAGGCTTTCCATCTTTAGTTCCTGGTAGCCGCGACAGTGTCGTGCGAGGTTCACCTGCAGCTCCTAGAAAAACGGTGAAGCCCTCTGCGCCTAGCAACAATGGCCAATTCGTGTTCACCGGCTGGAACGATGAAGCCAAGCGGGAGCTCTTCATGTGGAAAGTGAAGCGCAAGAAAGGCTACACATTCTTCTTGCATCTCTTTCCTGGTGAGACTGTGGAGTCACTACACGAAGCTTTCAAGGAGTACAAGTACGAAGGAGAGCGTCTCTTCAACGGATAAGTGCCCGTCGGAAAGGTGGTGTCTTGATCGAAGGTTTGACGTATGCACATTGGTGTAGACGTCGATGCGATCTGGGCTGTTCGCTTCACGTCAGTGAACTTGTTGGATTGAACGGGTAATATGGCACTGAGCCTCGTCAGGTCATAGTGTGAAGATGCGTCTGAAAGGCGATAATGCATTGCACATCGTGGCGTTTGGGCAAGAAATGACACCAATCCCAGGTCCACAATGCGGGTATCTATTGAGAATTGAATAAGTAGCCGAGATGAATCATATAGAAAGAATGATAAGTCATCGTGACTTGAGGCGCTGGCATTCATGTGCGAGCATGATAGAGCCCAGGGTGAGATCATTGTTGCGCGGGATTAGTCATCGATGCTAGCGCGTCCATCTCGCGTGGCCGCCAGTCGTCATCGCCATTGTCTTCTCACCAAACGCATCTCATCCCATTTTCTTCCGGGCCCATTCTCCTCATTTCCCTTCATGCTTTTCGCGAATGACATGCGCCTATCCGTATTGTAGAGGCAGTCACAAGATGGACATGTGGAGCTTCTGACCATGTCCGTCCACACGCGAGCTTGCTCCGCTAGACAGATCCCGCGATGCACGCAGCAATACTGCGGGGCTCTCTGATAGCTGAGGAACTCGTACGATAACTAGGTTCTGTTCTGATTCGAAACCCGACCGTCCACGCACAGTACACAAATGTTAGGTTTTTATTCATACCTGGTCTTGGCTTTCCTGACACTACACACAAGACAGCACTTGGAATGCTTAACCATGGGGCTGGCTCTTATCTGGGCTTTCAAAGACGGCTTCATCTGAGGCCGAGAATCCTGAACAGTCGAAGATCATGGCCTAGACGGGAGCTGCGACGCTTTTGCGACATGAAGAACCCCAGCATCCTAGCGAGCGGTCGGCCCCGCCGCGCACTGGCGTTTGACACACTGTTCCGACCACTCTCGATCGCCAAGCTGACCTGTAAACGTTGTAAAAGCGTTCCATCATGTATTTTCGGCAATGCCAACGACGGGTGGCTGAAGGAAGCATATGTCACTGAGACTCATGGGCTTGAGGAGCATTTATTCGCAGTAGGCCTCAGGAGGTGCATCTGATGAGCTCGCTAGTACCATCGCTTCACTTCACAGTCATCTATTCATCTTGCTGCCGGACAGCTCTTTCCCGTTTACATCTTCTTTCAATCCGCTAATTAATACACTCTCGATATGAAGGTCTCTCTGGAGTTGACTCTCGGTCTACTGGCCGTATCGTGCGTAGATGCATTCGTCGTTCCCCCTCGCACGCTATGGGCAGTACGTTGATCCGATGCACCCTCCTGGCTACTCAACAGATCGTCCCTCTCGTTGAAGCCTGTCACTCACTGCGTATGCTGACGCTCATACTAGACTAAAGCGAACCTTGCCTCTCGCTCGTATCGCGCACACCCTGTCAGACGTGACGCAGACTTCCAGAGCCTGGACTCGTTGATCAATGGAGGAAGTCGCCGCCGCGAAGCTCAAAAGCAAGGTGGTGGTGGTGGCGGGGGTCTCACGATAGGAGGTCTCACTCTAGGTGGCTCAGGCGGTGGTATCACTGGCAACGGTCTCAAGCTCGGCGGAAAGCAGCAGGGTAATGGTACTGCGGCAGCCGCCGAAGAGCCCAAGTCTGCAGCGACAGAGGATGAAAAGCCCGCCGCCGCCGCCGAGAAACCTGCTACTAAGGGCGAGAATCCTGCTATCGCCGCAGAGCAAGAGCCAAAAGAAAGTGCTGCTGGTGCTGGCGCTGGTACGGACAATCAGCCCGGACGCGCTGAAGGAGAAGCAGCAAGGAAAGAAGCTGAACAGGAAGCTCAAGAGGCCGAGGGTGAGAAGTCAAACGGTGTCAAGGCTACTGAAGAGTCTGAGAAGTTCTCTGAGGAATCTGGTATCACCCTCGGCGAGGACGGTGCCGCGGCGAACCTCGGTGGAAACTTAGGCATCACGCAGGGCTCTGATGGCAGTAAGTCAATCGGTGGGTCAAACGGTATCAACATCGCCGCCAATGGAGAAGCGACTCTAGCAGGTAATGAGTGATAATGGACCGCTTGGGAACATGAGGTTGTGCCAGCCGTTTCTATTCATTCCATCTACATCTCTCACTTGTTTATGTTTATCTGTCCAATGACCACATATCTGCAACTCTCAGTTCAAGGACCACTCTCATTGCCTGCTTGAAGGGGTAAACTCCTCTCAGTAACGAGAGAAGACGATGTGAGCAAACGCCCACCGTCATATCGCGTGGCCTGTAAAGCGTCAAAGCTTGTCGCCATATCTTGTGGGTTTACTTTTCATAAAGGCCTGAAGATGGCACTGTTTTCTTCTTCATCATCTACTCTACTACTCAAGCAGGTCGGTGCCTTGATGTCAGTGTATTTGCTAATTCCTACTCAATGCAGGAACCGCTGCGTAGATAGGATGGCAGAGCTACGAGCCAGGCCCGGATGTCTTCCCAACTCTATTCATCGTTCACGAATCACAGCATCAGACGAAGACATTCAGGCCTAGTGCAGTTTCCTGGTGAATGCGCTTTGCTGAGCACAGACCCTGCCGCACGTATCAAGCAACTACAACCCAAACTCGTGTCGCTCACCGTCACCACAACACACACGCGCGCAGTAACACAATCGGCAGTCGCATGTGCGAAAACATGGCTTCCGCCGCTGTCAAGAACGACGATGCCGTCACGTATTCGGCAAGGCAGCAGCAACTGCCAATCTCTCCAAACAACACCGTCACGTCAGAGTCTGATGGCTCTGTCAGTGACGAAGAGAGGGGCTTGTTCAAGCTGGAGCTGGAGCTGGCTATTGCGGACCGCAACAACAGCGATCTGAAGCGGGAGATTCAGCGCCTAAAAAGTGAAGTCGACGCCGGTGAGACTCGTGAGAGGGATCTGGAGCAGATGAACGCGCTCAACGTCATCACGGCCTCCAAAGCGGAGTCACTTCGCGCGCAAGTACAAGCGCTCGGATCCACCATTAAGCAAAAGGACACCGAACTGATCATTGCACGACGCGCTACGGCTACAGCGGTACAAGATGCACGGAATACCCGCGAACAGTCCGAGGCCAGCATCCTTAGTCTCCAGAGTAGAGTCGTCTCTCTTGAGGGCGAGCTGTCTAATGCCAACACACGCTCGAAAGCGACGGCCATCAGTCAAGTGATATTTGACGATCTGCAAACGCAGATTGACCAGCTCTCGACTCAGAATCATCAGTATGTTCGGGAGGCGGACATTAGTACTACCGATGCGCAGCGCCTGCTGAGCAAGATCGACGGTCAAAAGAGAGATTTGGAAGATCTTCAAGAGAAAGTCGTGAATGCTGAGGCAGCCCGAGATCGGTACGTACTACATCATGTTGTTATCCGCTCTGCGGGATTTCTTGGTGAACCCAGACGGCCTTCAGTGTATCTTTAGCACTTTCACAAATCATGAGAGTGCCGCAAGTCCCTCCAGGCCTACCCAACACCTAGTCGTGACTCTCCCTTCCACTGGGAAGCTACTAATAGGGTCACAGGCTCATTACGGCAGAGGCGCAGATGCAGGCGGATAGGAACATCCAAGCTACCGGACATCCTCCATCCTCTGACCGCCGTGTGGACGAGGAGTCGGAAGCAGAGAACGAAGTCAACATCCTCAAGGACAAGCTCGCTGACCTCAGGTGGAACGCACTCGACTATGTCATCGACCTTGATCTATCCAACAGAAACTTCCGAGCCTTCGACTGCGAGCACGGTAATGTCAGAGATGTTCCCGACGGAAGGAACTCATCGTATGGGCCTACCGCTATCAGGGTAGCACAGGACATCTTTCGGGATTGGCAGGATGACGAACAATTCATGAGGGGGTATACAAATCGCCGACAGAAGCTGATCAGGCATCACAAGGCTCACGGGCGCATTCAGGAAGGGAACGGTGTTCGGTTCTGGCTTCTGCGCGACGAGTTCAACGGTCTTGACGCTCAACGTGGTGTTGATGTTACATATACTTGAATGTTCCTAGAACATGGCGAGGCGGCTGTACAGGTCAAGATTGTGTACATAGCAAGTACTGATCGCCGAAGGCAAGGTGGTGATGAAGGCGGCAGGTGTACTGTTTTATGTGCGCGGTACGTATGAGAGACGCTGATATCGCGAAGCCGGTAATGCGCTACTCGAACCAGACGTACACGTACATAAAAACATCTCTAAACACAGCACAGAGCACACAAAACCCTCCATTCCCACACATCTCATCCCCCAAAGTGTTCCTCAACATGATGCGCAACCGCCGCCTCATCCCCCTCGAATTCCCCACAAACCGGACACGTCGCCACCTCAACCCCCCTCACATCTGCACCCCCTCCACCCTGATGTCTCCGATCCGCCTCCTCCAATGCCGCGAACAGTCCCACATCAGCCGGCTGTCTCCAACTCTTCCCCTCATCATAAAGATACTCATCTTCATCCCTAATATCTCTCTCCACCCTCCCTCCAACCATCCTCCCAGCCGCTCTACCCATACTACTTCCACCACCGCCCTCACCATCCCTACCCAGCCCCGCCCCAGCGCCCCCAACAACAGCTTCACCTTGCTGCCCTTCGCTCTCACTAACAAGCTTCTGAACCCTCCCCACCCTTCCATCACGTAACCTTACTTTCACGCCTCGAGGATGGTCTCCACGCGTTAGCAGGTCTGCGACAATACCGCGGACTTGGTGGCCGGTGGGTTGATCTTGTTTTAGGATGATCGAGACGCTTGTTCCGGGGTGGATGTATGCGAAGGAGGGGACGGGGGGATTGTCAGGGTCCGGTCTGAAGTTGGGTCTGCCGCGACCGCGGCCTTGTCCCCTGCCCCTAGATGCTCCTCGTCCTCGGCCTCGGCCTCGGTCTGAGATGGGATTGGAGTCGCCCCGGCCGCGACCTGTATGGGTGCCTCTTAATGGCTCTGAAGAAGGGGGATGCCGGTTTGGAGGGCCGCGTCTGGAGGGTGATTGTTGCATGGTGTGTATATGTTGGGTTCGTTGTCTGGCTTGGGGAGCTGGTACAGAGACGAGAGCTCTTTGTTCCTTCAACGGATTTTCCAATCTCTTTCTCAGGATGTGTTCAAACGTTGTTCTATTGGCCTTCCCAATTCGCAAGAGACGACGTGACATCCAATCCTGGTGAAAAATTTCGTAGCTCGAGATTGGTGCAAAGCTGATTTGATATGCGAAGAATTGGTGTGAATGCCGGCATCCGTCGGGATAACTGTTATCCTTGTAGAATGAAATGTTGAAGTTGAGATCTTGAACGGAATGAAGATGCGGTAACGAGTTGGTATTAGGCGGTTTTCACAATGTTTTAGTGCGCATTACGTCATTCGCTCCCTTCACACTATGCAGCCATACCTAGGTACCATACTCCAGACGGTGAGGAACGTACGTACAATGGCAACAGCCAAGGCATATAAGTATGCTCTCGTGACATTATCACGATGCTGTAAGACCAAGTGTGAATACATATCACATATGCAAAGACGCTCTCTTCTTGATCGTTAACTTTTGAAATTTCGTATCACACATACTTCTTCCAATAAGTCACAAACGGCATTCGTATCTTCAAGCAGATTTCGTGCACAAGATAATAATGAGAGACGCCAGGCAATGCTCAAATCCCTCGAAAGCCAGTGTGAAAATCAATGCTTCGCACCCAAATACAGGAGAGCGATCAAAACGACCGTCTATGCATCTACTGCTCGCGCATCTCCTGTATACAACGCCAGTGAATGAAATCTGTCGGAAATATACTGCCAAGGGTATACACACGAATCAAAGGTCGGATGATGTGTTTGAAACGGAGCGTGGTGGTGGTTGTCGTTACGTGGGTATGATCGGGGCGTTTAGAAGGGGAAGCCACCGGGCGGTCCTCCTCTTCGGCCACCGCTGGGCATGCCGCCCATACCACCAAACGGACTTCCACCGCCGCCGGAGCTGAAGTGGAAACCACCTCCGCCTCCACGGCCGCCTCCCATACCTCCGCCCATGCCGCCGAACATTTGCATGACTGTGTATCACGTTAGCCGTGGACATAGTTTCATAGTTATGACAATACTTACGGATCTCGGGGTCAATGCCGCCACCCATACCGCCCATGCCTCCTCCCATGCCACCGCCGCCAAACATGTCGTTGGGATCGACAAGATCAGCGCCGGAGTCATATCTCTCGCGCTTTTGTGGGTCGCTCAGAGTCTCATGTGCTTCTTGAATCTCCTTGAACCTGTCCGCAGCATCCGCGTCGTCTGGGTTCTTGTCGGGGTGATGTACAATGGCCAGCTTTCGGTATGCCTTCTTGATCTGTGTCTCTGTGGCATCCTTCTCGATACCGAGAATCTTGTAGTAGTCCTTCCTCTTGCTCTTCTTGAGCTCCATCTCGGCATCACGAATTTCTTTGGCAATGCCAGGCTCCGATGGGTTCTCTTCCTGGATAGCCTTGAGATCACGCACTGCCTCCTCCCAGTTGCCGTTCTCTCCTAGTGCCTTCGCCCGGGTCTTCCGTGCCTTTGTATAGCTGGGATCGAGCTCGAGAGCCTTCTCACAGTCTGCAATGGCTTGTTTCCAGCTCTTTTGCCGGCTGTGGCACAGGGCTCGGTTCTGTAGGATCTTGGAGTTTGTGTTCTTGTTCGAGGGGTCGACTGCGAGTGCCTGCGTGTAGGTGTCGATGGCTTCTTGGTACCTGCCGGACTTAAAGGCAGCGTTACCCTCTTGCTTCATGCGGTCCAGCTTTTGCACCATTCGCAGGTACTTGACAGCGGCCTTGAAGTCGGGGTCGCATGCCAGTGCTTGTCTAAAGTGCTGTACGGCCTTGTCGTTCTCGCCCTGGGCGTACAGGATGCGGCCGCGCAGTACAAGAGCGTCAGGGTCCTGGTTGTTGTACCGTAGCAGCGACATGGCTACGTTTTGTGCCTCTCCAAGTGCATTGGCATTGCCCATGCGCAGATGTGCCTCTCCCCGCATGAGCTGCCACTTCCGGGGCTTGTCTACACCAACACCAAGACCCTTCTCAGCCTCGTTGAGGGCGTATATGACCATGGAACCTGAGCCCTCGTTCCGTGACGTGTCTTCGGCCATGCGGAGGTGCTTCTGCATTGTCAAAGCAGGCTGCTTGTCTTTGGCAGTGGCATTGATGGAGTCGTACACCTGCACGGCTTCGTCTGGCCGTCCCAGGCTAGTATATACTCTGCCTAACCGCAAGAGAATCTTCATGTTGTTGGGGTCCAGCTCGTCTGCCATCTTGCAGTCCTCCATAGCCTCGTAGAACTTATTGGCGGAAATGTAGGCGGCGGCCCGGTTCGAGTAGTAGGTAGCATTTTTGGGATCGGCTTCGATAGCTGCAAATTGGTTAGCCAGAAGCTCTCCCCGGTGGACTGTAGTGCAAAGCTTCGGCTAGAGCATGGCAAGTGTCACTACGCACCTTTTGAGTATTCCTCGATGGCCCGCGGGTAGTCTTTGATTTTGAAGAACTTGTTGCCGGCAGCCTTGTACTCCTCGGCGTCTATCGTCGGGGGCTCAGCGGGCGGGGTGGCAGCCTCGGGGGTCGCGGCGTAGTTTGCGGTAGGCGGCGGTGGGCTCTTTGTATAGCGGTGTGGTGGAGGAGCAGGGCCGTCGGGGGCGCCATTGGCGCCATTCGTCTTGGGCGTGTCTGCTACGGGACTCGAGGGGGCGGGCGAGGACGAGTGCTCCCGGTCGACGTCCATTGGCTGGGGCGTGGGCTGATCCATGGCGGACATCTGCGAGGACAGGCGCTGGCGCTCCTCGGGCGGGAGGTTTAGCGGGTGTGAGTCGCGGTCGTACTTGGACGAGCGCTTGGACGAGTAGGAGCTCGAGCGGCGGCTGGAGGAGCGTTCCCGGTCCTTGACCTTGGAGTGGGTGTGCTTGTCAGGCGAGGCAGGAGGGGTACCTGAGTTAGCCTGGGGGGAGGGTCGGGGGGCAAGGTTGGGGATATCTCTGGTCTTGGACGACTTCTTTGAGGATGCGAAGAAGGAGGGAAGAACCATGGGGGCGAGCTGCGGAAGGATAGCGGCCTGGACGGTGTCACTAGAAAATTAGTCTGGCTGCAGCGACTGTTGGTTGAGATCCAGGGCGGATAAAAATTAAGCTGGGATTTTGGTCCTAAAAACGTTGCTAGAATGTTCCATATCAACGAGGTTGAGCCCGCTAGCACTTCTGCCACAGAGTCAAGCCGCAGCGGACGTGCATCGGAAGGCTGGGCTGATAGTCGCCTACCACGCCAATCGCCCTGCATGCGGCACCGACTTACTGGCCGTTGTCACTTCGCGGAAGCGGTAAACGCTCTGCAATTACCTTTCCCTCACTCTCGACGTACGACTATACGCTGTGGGACTTCACGACTACTTCGAGTGGGGCATCCGACTCGCCCAATCCGCGGAGAGAGGCTGGGACGCGCAGTATCAACAGACGACAACAACACCTTGCATAGAGGACGCGATAGTCTGCCCACTACCAACGCTCATCGTCCTCTCTCTATCGATGCGCTGGCCTCTCAGCCACCAGCCTGCTTCTTTGTGTGCCAACGTAAAACGCTCTCTGTTTGCAGGTGCATGCAGACACTCGGCCATGGCAACAACATCACCGGGAAGATGACTTGAGGTGAACAAGCGCTTATATGATGACTCGCCGTTGCGGAGAGGAATACTCAGAGGCAGCAAGGCCGACAAAGATTGCCTGAACAGGCAAACTGACGTGGCTGTGGCTTATCACGGTGTCTGTCAATGATGTTTAACATTCTTTCCGTTAAGTTCATTGTTCATGTTCTCGCTCCTCGTCCGAACATCGGTGCATCCGGTCTATTGAAGCTCAAAGTGCCCCAGTGCCCTCACGTGCGTCACCAGCTGACTACACACCATCTCACCATGCACTAGCTCGGTAGCTGTCAGGCTCCCATGGAACTCGTTCCTTCGTTCTACAAAGTCACAGCACATGCCACATAGATATCTGTAGAGCATCCCATCTCATAACACAGAGCAACCCTACCCAAGTGTTTACCCGGCTGTGCCCCTCGCCTTCGTCATCCCGCCCGACTGATCCGCACGTGCCATCAGGGACCGCGCCGTCACCTCCAGGTCCAGAGCTTCACTCCACATCCCAAGATAGCAATCGCGCTTGGGCGCAACAGCGGGAGCCACAACCATCGGCCCCTCGAACGCTTCACCGCTAGCTCCCCGCCACCTTTATCTCTTCACACCCACGCCAACAGCACGTATGACAGGCGGCGACCAACAACGAGTGGCCACCTCTGACTACCGCTCTGACTACCGCCACGGTCTCGACACAACTCCTGCGCCGCAGCAACCCTCGGTTCACGCGACGGATCGCCTGTCTATCACTATGGGCCTCACATACAACATCTACCTCAACTCGACCACGTCACGCATCTACGGCTGCAAGAACTGCAAAACGCATCTTTCCAATCACGATGACATACTCAGCAGGGTGAGCGCATCTTGAACCCCTTCGCATAGCCATGTCGCTAACCATCATGAGAACTTCCGTGGTCAACACGGCAAGGCGTACCTCTTCGACACCGTCGTCAACATCACCGAGTCGGACCCCAACGAACGCAACATGACCACAGGACGTCACATAGTACGCGACATCCACTGCCGCCAGTGCAAGGAGACTGTCGGCTGGAAGTACGACAAGGCCTATGAAGCCAGCGAAAAGTACAAAGAGGGCAAATTCATCTTGGAGGAAGAGCTTCTGTGCACCGTCACCTGAAGACGGAACTCTACTACGCACTATCGACGTCATATTGAAAGGGCATTTGCTGGGAGTTTTGGATTGGATACTGCGATGCGGCTTGTTTACGGATGATGTTTATGCGCCTGGATTCGTTGAGCTTTGGACAAGGCGTTCATATAGATTCACATGGTATGTTGGGCTCTGTAGCGTTGATGCAATTTCCTATCAATGTACTGAGGTACCGGTGCGGACAGAGGCGGAGAGCTACGTCGAGCTTCGAGCTTGTCGGAGTCCGTCGCGAACCGGGGCACCCGACAGCAACCCAAGACGCTGGTCGAAGCATTCCTCGAGCTACCTCTCAGGATTCGCGCACTATCTTAGCAATTTTATTTAAGCTACTATACACGCCTGCAGCCAATGTGCTTTCACTGCCTATGCCCTCTACCCCGCAGTCGAACCTCGGCGGGGTAGGAGCTACGACACCACATCATCACCGAGGAGCATTTCGCGCCTCCGATGTCGTCAGGGCGTGCGCCCTATACTTAGTCCACAAGCTCCACTTGGTTGCAGGCAGTTTCTTGACTTACATGTGCTTTTCCTCCTGAATCTCCTTGTCACAGTCTTTTCTTCTGACTTCCAACAACGATAATCACTCACCACAACATATCAGGAGACACGACATGAGAGCAGTCGTATTCAAGGGGCCAGGGAAGGTTGTGATTGAAGATAAGCCGATTCCAAAGATTCAAGAAGAAGGAGATGTTATCGTGAAAGTTGAGAAGGTACATATGCTGATCGATACCATCACCTCCTACTAACTCTTCATAGACGGCATTATGCGGCAGGTACTGAAAGTCACCACCTACAAAACATATCATCTCTAACATGAACTGCAAGTGAATTGCACGTCTTCCGCGGTCACCAGCAGTCTGCTACCGACTTCGTGATGGGCCATGAGTTTACCGGCCACGTTCACGAAGTGGGCTCATCGGTAAAGAGCTTGAAGGTTGGCGACCATGTCGTCTCTCCTTTCACAACATGCTGTGGCGAGTGTTTCTACTGCACCCACGGCTTCTCCTCGCGATGCGTCAAATGCCAGCTTTTTGGCTGTCCTGCCCTAGACGGTGGCCAGGCAGAATACGTCAGAATACCACTCGCCGACTCTACAGCCGTCAAAGCACCACCTGGCATCAAAGACGAAGCCTTGGTTCTCATGGCAGACATCTTCCCAACAGGCATGTTTGCAGCTAAGAATGGCTTCCAATTCTCCACTCCCGAGGAGATCAAGGAAAGTGTCGTTGTGCTCATTGGCTGCGGTCCTGTAGCTCTCTGCGCGCTCTGCAACATCACCGACTACAAGCCAAAGCACATTCTCGCGGTTGACTCCGTACCTTCGCGCCTCGAGCTTGCCAAGTCACTCGGTGCGGAACCCTGGAACTTCCAGACTGATCGTGAGGGTCTTGATAAGCGCGTCAAGGAGCTCACAGACGGCCGCGGAGCAGACATTGTCATTGAAGTGGTCGGTCTCTCTCCTGCACTTCGGATGGGATTCGAATTGATCCGACCCTGGGGGGTCATCAGCTCGGTCGGAGTCCACAACGCGGAGATACCGTGGTCTGGAAACGAAGCATATGGAAAGAACGTGAGAGTTCAGATGGGAAGGTGCCCTGTGAGGAGCGTGTTTGAAGAAGCACTTGACAGCTTGAAGAGGCATCAGGATAAGCTTGGGTAAGTTTGATCATGATGGAAGGGTTTCGGTCGTTGACTGATGTGTGCCAGCTTCATGGCTGATAAGGTCATGCCCTTGAGCCAAGCCGTCGAGGGCTATGAGCTGTTCGACAAGATGAAGGTGCAGAAGGTCGTTTTCGAGGCGCAAAAGTAGGGCGCGTACAGGACAGCTGCATTGAGTGGTGTTGAGGCGGTGTGAGGTTATCAGACGGCGTTTGAGGGAGTGGATAAAGTACGAGCTGGCGTTGGTCGATGTGTGAGCGCGCATTGGGTGGTGTTGAGAGGCCGCTGCATGCGTAGGTGTGGTGAAGGCCTAGTCTCAATCGAACAACTGGAGGCAGAAATCCCGTACATCTCAGCCAATCATCAATTTCAGCGGCACGATACATTCACATTCTAGCCAGTACCCTGAAAATGCTGGATTTAGCTGCATCTTCGCGGGGCCTTGGCCGTTTTCGAGGCTCGTGCACGCGGGGTCTATTCTGTTCTGTGTTCGAGGATGGGGCGCGCGAGAGTTGCGAACAGCTCGATGCATTCACGCCTGCATGCGGGCCATGCATAGTGATTGCTCCCGTAGATTCAGTGCCGCCTGCTGCACGAGGACAGCGATTGCGCCGAATCCCCTGCTGTGCCTCCCAGTACCTGCAATGTTTGTGAATAGGGCAAGGCTCGTCCGTCTCGCTAAGGAAAGCTACATCCTGCCGCCCTAATATTGCGCAGACCCAGGGCTTCGTCTCCCCTCCGTCACCTTACCTCCACTCTATCTGCACGCTCCAAAGAGGTTCCGCCAACACACCTCTTCTCTTCTCCCACGCGTCCCCCAATCCTCCTCTCCGCTCCCTCCCACCTACCCTTGCTCTCTCCCCCTCTTACCTACCTGTCCGCTATCCCGCACCGACCACCTCCCCCGCCACTTCCGTAGTCGCCAGTGAGTAGCTTCCATGCACACTCCCAAACACGAGCCTGTGGCACAATTGCTGATACGTAGCACGATAGCCTCGAGACATCCGACTCGTCCTCCCCTCCCCCTCCGCCGCAGCACATCCAGCTCTCCTCTCTGTCTCCGCGACCCACCTTCTTCTCTCGTAAGTATCGCGATAGTGCGCGCGTCGCAAAACTACGTCACTGACCGCAGCTGCAGCCCTTCCCTAGGCCATCCCCACAACATGTCCTCAGAAGAGCCCCAACCCGGCCCCGGTCAGGATGCTAGCCGCGTCGCCGACCAGCTGGACCGCCTCAACATGGACGGCGAGGGCGAAGTAGTCCCGCGCACCGAAGAGGAGTACGCCGAGTCGCAGCTCACCCTCCGAGCCATTGTTTCGTCCAAGGAGGCTGGAGTCATCATAGGCAAGGCGGGCAAGAATGTCGCTGACCTGCGCGACGAGACTGGTGTGCGCGCCGGCGTCAGCAAGGTTGTCCAAGGTGTCCACGACCGCGTCCTCTCCGTTACCGGCAGCCTCTCTGGTATCTCCAAGGCGTATGGCCTAGTCGCCAAAGGCCTGCTCGAGGGCGCCCCTGCTATGGGCATGGGCGGCGTTATCCGCACCGACGGCACTCATCGTACGTACAATTGCGACACTGGCACTCTCCAGCGACGTTACTACGTACAAGAGCTGGTACCAAGCTAACTTCTGCAGCCATCCGCCTGCTCATCTCGCACAACCAAATGGGCACCATCATTGGTCGCCAGGGCCTGAAGATCAAGCAGATCCAAGATGCCTCCGGCGTGCGCATGGTCGCACAGAAGGAAATGCTTCCCCAGTCCACCGAGCGTATCGTCGAAGTCCAGGGCTCGCCCGCCGGCATCGAGAAGGCTATCTGGGAGATTGGCAAGTGCCTCATCGACGACCACGAGCGCGGCTACGGCACTGTCCTCTACAACCCCGCCGTCAGGGTTCAGCCTGGTGCTGGTCCGGCCCCACTGTCCAACGGCGGTGGCGCACCCGCCGGTGGTATGGGCGGACGCTCGTACAACCGCACTGGTCACGGCGCTGATTTTAGTGACTCGCCTCCTGCCTTTTCTCGACGGTCTGGCTCCGATGCCGCCAGCAGGCCCCCGCCCCCAACGCACACCGAGGATGGCGAAGAGATGCAGACCCAGAACATCAGCATCCCGTCTGACATGGTCGGCTGTATCATCGGTCGCGGCGGTAGCAAGATCAGCGAGATCCGCAAGACGTCCAACGCCCGTATCTCCATCGCCAAGGCACCTCATGATGATACCGGCGAGCGCATGTTCACCATCACTGGTAGTGCCAGTGCTAACGAGAAGGCGCTCTATCTGCTGTACGAGAATTTGGAGGCCGAGAAGATGCGCCGCAGTCAGGCCCAGGAGTAGATCGCCCTCTAGCGCATCTGTTACCCAACGTCGGCGCCGTTGGGTATTGCCAACCCTCTTGGGAGGTGCAAGATAGCTTGGAGCCCCGCAGGCCTCGCTATCAGTCGCCAGCTCTTCACGTCCGTCGCCATCTGCATCTATGTCTCCTGAAACGGAGGCCCCGAAAATCGACAACAAAAGCATGGAATTGCTTAGTTTCTTACTTGCTGTTACTGATGGATACCACGGATTGTCTGGAGCATTATTTACTTTTCTTACTATTGTCGAGAGAGAACTGAGTGCACGCTGAGCGGCTCACGAATGTCATGACGTTATGGCCTTTGATATCCGGATACATCTGCTCAAGGGTAGCAGCTCTGACATCCATCTTTGGGTTTTCTCGGCGAAGAAGAGTTGGGGAAGAAGTGAGATGCTTCTCACCACGTCCCGAGCTCTACTACGACACTCCGATGTACCTTCCTAATCACTCCCTCACTCCTTACCCGAAACCCTTCCCTCTCCCTTGCTCCCCTACCAACACTCCGATACAAACAAACAACATCTACTACCAATATTTAGAATTCTATGATGATAGTGTCTAGACTGCGAACTACTCCTAATGTGATGTGGCACTTGCGAACGTTTGATAATGGTGCTGCCCAAGGGGAAATGAGTGCAGCATTGCACGTGCAGAACGAGGCTGCCCAGGTGTTCCGAACCGTTGGACCCTCCAATCGGGAATACGTCATTAGTGTGACGCTCGGACGCTGAGCACCTGAGCACCTGAGCACGACGTCTCCGCCGCAACAACTCAGCTACACAGAGAGAGCTCAAGAGCTCAGGAGCTCGAGGGAGAGTGTTCAGCCAGACGACTACATGGAGCAGCGATGATTTCCAAACGACAAACGCTGCAGGCGCGGCATGCTCGCCCACGGTGAGGTTCGGCAGGCAGGCTTCGTGTGCCTCGCTAATCCTTCCAGGATCGCCCAGACGCGGGCAGGCGGTAGACTAGGGCAGAGACAGATTTGGCACCCCGACTGATTTCCGAAGGCTGGGTAGTAGCTGTTTCTTTTCAGGAGCTAGCTCTTCTAGGAAGGGGTGCATGATGGTTAAAGATGATTTCTTGACCGCATGTTCCCTCTCTGCCTCGCTTCTGCTCCTCCGCAATATTCCTTACTCCATCCACAACTTCCCTACCAGACGACACCATACAGATTCACGGTTTGAAGCCTACGAGACGTGACACCGCCTGCAAAGCACACACTACTCTCAACTGAGCACCACGAGTACCATGGCGCCTATCCAAACACAGACGATTACCCCTCATCAATTCAGCAACCCAGTCACTGTCATTCGAGCATCAGGACGCATATCCAAGCCGCCAGCACGATCAACGCGTACACAAACCAAGGCACTGTTGTCTCATTCGCCACAAATACCTACCGCACACCCAGACATCGACATCAGTCTGCTCCGTAACAAGTTGCTTCTTCAGTGCCGCCAGTACATCCCTTCAGAGCTTCTCCACGAAGCACTGGCAGACGGCATCTACTCACGCGCGACACACTGGATCACGCCCTCTTCCAACGCTGCCTCGAAGTTCGGCAAGCGAAAACGCTACTACGTCTTGCATAGCGCGAACTTCACCTTCCAGTCCATGGGCAGCGCGTGGGAAGCGCGGATTCTATCTAGAGGCAGCCAGCCAATCGATGCAGGAAACGGAGTAGTCGTATTCGTCAAGGAGAGGAAAGAATGGGACGCATTCATGGCGGGGTACAGAAGGCAAGGAAAGCGAGCGGGGCAGCTGATGAGGCTCAAGCAAAAGGACACGGAGCGAGGGTGGAGAGATGCGTGGAAGAGGAAGTGCGGGATGGAGGAGAGTGGCGGCAAGGAAGTCAACGCTGGGCCAATGTGGGTGCTGGTCAAGAGCGCTGTTTCGAAGATTGTCAGAGGTGAGGCGTGAGCTTGCATTCTGGGCCCCGGAACAGAGTGGGGGCTGCATCTGCTGGCGTTTGGCCTTGGATCTTCTTTTTTAGCGAGCATATTTTCACGACCTTATGAACGGCTGGAGCGGTAAGCGCGGAGAACGCTTGGATGCTTTTTCCAGTCTTTGCGTAGATACCTTCTCCCACAATGAATGACACAACCATATGAAAACTCGGTCGGCAGATTCGCGCTCTTTGCATCATGTGTGTGCTCCTCCAGCTCGCAGTGAAGCGGCGCTCCACACACTAGCGAGTGGGTGGCGCGCCCCGGTCAAGTCGATCCCTGAGGCTCAAACACGGCCCGTGCTCGGTTCTAACTCCGTCTTAGCCCCGGCCACTTGATGCCACGGTTGAAGCTTAAGAACTGCCTATGGCGCAGGTGTAATCTAAACCTAAAGCCAGGTGTACACTTTCACCTTGACCCACAGTCGCTCGAGAAACACGGTTTCTCCCTCTTCCACGCGCACCCTTCATCGCGCAATCCACTCCTTTACGTACACCGCGACACGCTACGACACACACAGCACGCGCCTTCCTCGAGCCAATTTCCACGACATTAGTAGCGACACCACGATACAGCAAACAAAATGGCGGAAGCCACTCGGCGCAAGGTCAACGAGACCAATGGAATCACGAAGGGAGATGCGCAGCACCAATTGGACGGCGCGGTGCATTCGATCGAACAGAAGCTGGAAGAGCAAGCAGAGCTCCATGCACGAAACCCTCAGGAGCAAAAGGAAGCAGGGTTGTTCCAGTTGGTAATCTGTGTCGCTGGTATATATGGAAGTTTGTAAGTCGCAATGCACAATAGTACGTTGGACGGGAGCATATCTGACACAGGGTAGCATGACCTGGGCATGGATCCAAGAGCGATTAACAACCACCACCCACGGCCCCAGCAACCAGCGCTTCACATACTCCATCTTTCTCAACACCGTCCAATCCGCCTTCGCTGCCATCACCGGCCTCCTCTACCTTCACCTGTCCGCGAAGAAAGACCCCAAGACCGGCGTGCGCAAGGTGCTACCCATCTTCCCCTCCAAGGACATCCTCATGCCACTCCTCGGAATCGCCGTCACATCATCGCTCGCCTCCCCCTTTGGATACGCGAGTCTGAAGCACATTGACTACGTCACCTTCATTCTCGCCAAGAGCTGCAAACTGCTTCCGGTCATGTTTCTGCACATCTCGCTCTTCCAGAAGCGATACCCCATGTACAAGTACGCCGTCGTCGGTTTCGTGACTCTCGGTGTCGCAGTCTTTACACTACACAGCCCTTCCACAGCGAAGAAGGCCGCGAAGAAGGGTGTCAGCGCAGACGCCTCGCAAACCATTGGTCTCATCCTGCTCGGGGTAAATCTTCTCTTCGACGGCCTCACAAACACAGTTCAAGATCACATCTTCAGCAGCTTCAAAGGCTTTACTGGACCCCAGATGATGTGCGCCCAGAATATCATGTCAACAGCACTAACAGTATCCTACCTTCTCATCACACCTCTCCTTGCCTCCACTCCCCTCGCTGGCTGGATTGGCCTCGACCCACGCTCCTCATCCGGTGAGCTATCTGACGCGCTCTCATTCATAACCACATACCCCGCTGTCGGTTGGGATGTCCTCATGTTCTCCGCCTGTGGCGCTATAGGCCAGGTCTTTATCTTTCACACCCTAGCCCACTTTAGCTCGTTGCTGCTTGTTACAGTGACGGTCACGAGGAAGATGCTGACCATGGTTTGGAGTGTGTGGTGGTTTGGTCATGAGATTACTGGCATGCAGTGGCTAGGTGTTGGACTGGTGTTTGGTGGTATTGGTGCGGAAGCGGCGGTGGGGAGGAGGGAAAAGGCGAAGAAGGCTGCGGCTAAGAAGTTGGAGGAGGAGAAGAGGAAACGATAGATCATGTGGGCTGGGGTACATACTTTTGAGAGTACTAGAGGATATTTTGATGCGCCTTTGTCTCTGTAGATTCATAGAGCGATAGACGATTCTTGTACAGTTGATATATAACACACTTTTTCTTCGACGAGCTTCACTTCATGGGCTCGGACAGCAGTCAAGCTGAGCCTTACTCATCTGTACCACCACGCCCCAATTACCCCACTTCCTCTTCCAGAGCTCCAACACAACCTGCGCGCTCTCCGGAGGTCTACTAGCAGCAGGTATCAAAGTATACGCAACGAACAACCCAAATCATGTCACAAGAACCTCTCCTGCCTTCCTACGGCGCAGCCACCCAGCGCCCCCGCTCGAGCGAGTACCGTCTTGTCGCGAAATACACCAATACCGCGCGCGCACTGATGAACACCCTCTTCGTGTTTGTCTCCTGTGTCAGCGCTATCTTTGCGACTATCTGGGCAAGTCGGAGCAGTGGCACAATTGCGGATCACGTAGGTAATCCATCAAACCTGATAGCCCTCTACTGACACTCACACAGCCTGATATCCCATACACCGGCTCCGCACCTCTCCTGCCATATTTCGCGTCCATCTCTCTCGTCATATCAAGTTGTTTCTGGATCGCCTTTCTCGTCTTCGTCGCGCATGACAAAGACGGTGGCTCGGTACTCAAGCGCAAGATCATTATTGGTGTTGCGGTTGTGGGGAAAGTGGTACTTGCAGCGGCTCATGTAGCGATCTGGCAGACATACAAGATGTGGTATGAAGGGCTTAAGACACCGAATTGGGTAGTTGTGTTCATGGCTGCACAGGCTTGGTTTGATGTGGTGTTCGTTGGGGTTCACGGATGGGTGGTGTGAGCGCTTCTTTTAAAGAGGATAGAGTAACAGGAAAGGCTATGTTGCGGTGAAAGCCTTGATGCAACACGTTGAAGTCGTTCAATTCTGGTTATCTGATGATAGAGGATGTTCCAAGCTTGTTGGGATCACAGAAGTCGCACGCCCAGATGGGCTAGCAGCTCGCGCTAAAATCTTAGCGATCGTGGAATTGGCTATCCTATTCCATGCTCCTGCCCAGCGTTCACGGATCAGGTTTTCGAAGAAAGGTGTCAATCTATCGGGTAGGACATCAAGGTGTTGCTCGATGCAAAAGTGCTTGATACATATTAGGGCTTTCACATCTTCGTCCTTGTATCTAGTGTCTTTCTGTTTCTTCATCCGTGACCCGCCTTTTCTAAGGGAGTCGGGCCAGCCCACTCTTCTCAACTCTACTCCTAGATCATATACGGTCTCTTCGTCAAGATGCAAGGAGTCGAGCGCGATGTTGCGTCGCGCGATCAGATCTCGAATGTATTCGACTTCGTAAAGTGGGTGATCTTCCTGCGATGGTATCGTTTTGGTGCGGCTTGCAAAGGGCACGGAAGAGGGGGGGCCATCTAACGTGAATGATTCGGAGGACATGAACGTAATCTCAGAGAGAGAGAGAGAGGGGGCGTCTGAGTACAACTGTTATATATGTGTTAATCCTTAGTCTGCTGACACACGCGCAGGGCACGATACTGGTCAGACGGGAATGGCTTTCTCCAATACTTCGTGTCATCATGACATTGCATGCAATATTGTCGCATGCCAAAACATATGGGTTCGAGGGTGAGGCGATAGATCTCAATACTTGTTGAAAAGCTTACAACGTTTAGCAAAGGCCTGGGTATCGTGACTCTCAAGGATGTTTCTCATCCTTGCTCGAAGCCAGATTGGACACTATGCAGCAGAATACGACACGAAATCTAGCCCCCCCCCCCCCCCCCCCCCCTAATAAGGGATATGGAAGTGACCAGATATTATTAATCACATTGCTCTGCTTCTTCCGTCAAAGATTAACACCCAACGAACTTGCGCCGCGCCTCCTCCTCCTCCTCTGCTATCACATTCTCATAAATCGACTTACATTGAGTGGCCCTCATTCCGATGAAGAAGTACTCTGCGATTTCTTGCCAGCTCAACAACTTTGTGTCCTTCAATCTGAACAGCAGATAAGTATCCATTGTGCCCCATTCCCAACTCAGCCCACCTCCACAGTTTTTGATTGTGTCAAGAGACTGCCAAACTGATGGCCAGTTGTGATCATGGAGCAGCTCGCGTAACTTGGAACGATTTTTATCGGTTATTTTGAGCTTCGAGAGAACGTAAGTCTTGCAATCCTCCAATAGTTGCTCTTCTTCTGATACTACAGATGTTTCGGAAGCTTGGAGGTCTTCGCTATCGGTGGCTGATACATATATCGGGCCATCGAAGAGGCCAGACCACCCAATCTCTGCGTCGGATGTATCCAACTCAGCCCAGTCGTAGGCTGGTTCGACTGCGTTGACTGCCTCATCAAGCGCTGCAACTGTATTAAGTTAGCTGAACGATCTCAATTGGCATGGGTAAATTCCGCCTACTTGTAGGCTGTGTTGCAGTGTCAGGCGCCGTTGCTGCCCCAGGGGTCCAATCGTCATTGGCGCGTCCTCTTTTGTTGTAAGATTGTCTTTCTGAAGGCATGATATATGGCTTAGCATTGCAAGACCATCAGCTTCTTTTCAGCCTAGAATGAACTACGCTTGCTCTTCTATTCACACTGCTTCAGCATGTGCCCGGCGCTGCACAAACATGACCGTATGCCTGTGTGTGCGACCGGAACATCTTACAATTAGGCATGATATGTTTTCCATAAGCACATTTACTCTACACTGCCCTTCCTCGCCCACTCCCTAAGGACATTCTTCTGTATCTTCCCCGTGCTCGTCTTGGGCAACTCTTTGACAACCACAACCTCCCGGGGCACCATGAAGCGGCTGATATTGCTGTTCTCCTTGGCCCACTGAATCACCTCTCCACCCAATGTCTCGCTATTCGTCCCGTCCTTTGTGGTAACGAAAGCCTTGGGCCGCTCGCCCCAGTGTGAATCCGGAACGGCGCAGACGCCGACTTCAAGTATGGAGGGGTGCGTGGAAAGCATGGCTTCGAGGGCTACACTGGAGATGTTCTCGCCGCCTGTGAGACGTTCGGTTAGCAAGTCGCTTCAAAAGAGGAATGCCCGGAAAGTCAACAACATACCACTGATAATGATGTCTTTCGCACGATCCAGGATCTGTATCGCTCCATCCGGATGCCAGACGGCTAGATCGCCTGTATGCAACCAGCCACCCTCCCACAGCTTGCGCGTCGCTTCGGCATCTTTGTAGTAGCCCTTTGCGCAGATATTGCCTTCGAAGATGACTTCTCCAATCTCCTTGCCATTCCTTTCCACGTCGGTGAGGACACCTTCTGGCTGCTCAGTCTTGATGACTCGCGTCGCTTTGCCCATGATAAAGCCGTGGCCTTGTCGTGCCATACGATCGTATTTCGTTTTCTCAGGGAGCGTTTCCCATTCGGGCATATGGTAGCCTTTCGTGATCGGACCGTAAGTTTCCGTAAGACCGTAGACGTGGACGGGGTGTAGGTTCAAGTTTGACATTTGTTCGAAGAGCCAGGCGCTCGGTGGACTTGCTGCTACGGTGACTCTGACTGGTTGGGGCAGGCGCTCTGCTTCCTTCGCTGCGCAGAGGAGGGTGTTGACGGTTGGTGCGGCGTTGAAATGCGTGATGCCTTCCTCCTTGAGCAGGCGCCAGATCTCTGGGTAATCGATCTTGCGTAGACAATAGTGCGTTCCTCGGACGGCGGTGACTGACCAGGGGAATGTCCAACCCGTCGCGTGGAACATTGGCAGAGTCCAGAGATACTTTGCGCGGCCGGTGTGATAGTTCAGTCCAGACTCGATGACATTGCCCATGGCAGCCAGGTAGACGCCGCGATGTGTGTATTCGACCCCCTTCGGCCGTGCTGTTGTTCCGCTGGTGTATGCGAGTGCCATGACGTCTTCTTCGTCCTTCGCCTGCGACTCCAGATCTGCCCAGCCCTTGCCTCCTTGCTCAATATCGTACTTCAATCCCTCGAGTACTGCATCGTCGAAAGGACCAGAGAGTTCGCCTTCTGTTGCATCCGTGTCTGTGTCGATCAGTATTGGTACATTTGGTCTTTCCTTCTTGTATTCGTCCAATAAGCCCACAAACTCGGCATCCGCAATGATCATGTCCACGTCCGAGTGCTGGAAGATGTAACTGATGTCATCGTGTTTCAATCGGTAATTGATAGCGACGTTCACACCTCCTGCCGCCGCGATACCGAATGTGCTCTCCAGGAATGCTGGTGTGTTCGTCGCCAATATACCTACTCTCTTATACCCGTGTTTCCTCAGGTAGTATGCCAACCCTCGTGCGCGGTCCGCAGCTTCAGCGTAAGAGCGCCGTAGGACCTTGCCGTTCACCGTCTTGTGGTATATTGCCAGGGCGTCTGGCTCGATTTGCGCCGCGCGCCAGAGGAACCATGTCGGGCTGAGGGTGTGGAAGTTGTGTCGATGATGGTATTCGTGGCTGTCGCCGGGATGGATGGGCGGTGGCCCAGGGACAGGGTTGGCGGACGTGAAATGCGACGCGAGTTGCTTGAGACGATCTTTAGCACCTTCCATTGTATCTGCACGAGGATCTGGTTGTTCAAAGTTCTAGCAGCAGCTTATATACACGCGACGGAAATATCGATCTACAATTTGGCCAAGCTGGGCTGAAGCTACAGACGCCAGAGTGCGGAGTAGCTCCGCTGTGGGACGAGATGCGAGAGATGTCCGAGGTCTTGAGCGATGAGAGGGCTGCAGGACGCGATTTTTGACAGGGGTGCGCGACGGCGGAAGGAAGGATGTCGCGATACTCTGAACAACGTGGTCTAATACGTTTCTTACAGGGTGCAATGACTGACAGCTGCCGCTGGAGCTTCGATCCAGGATTGGGGAAATCTGGGGAAGGGTACCGGTTCCGGTGCGGCACGACGTCACAGCCGAGGTTAAGCGCCAGTAGGCATACCTATCCTCCCGACCGCGTCAGATCGCAGGCATATCGGATTGCAAGGCTGTTATGCAAGGTACTCGTCATTCTGTCACGACAGTGGATGCAAAGCGTAAGGGGAATCGTGAGTGGATTATCATAACCACAAGTCTATTGCTGAATGCTCAACGCCGTCACCATGCTTTACATCAGCTGGGATTTTTCATTTCGTATTGCTTCTAGCCGGAAGAGTACCTGAAGACACAGCAGACCGACCGCGAAGAGACCCATGAACACGTAAGCACCCTGGTATTGATGTGCTCTTTTAGCCTGGACACCCTTTCGAATGGTCGGAGTATAGTAGAGGAAATAAACATCCCATGAGCCCAATGCAATCCACGCCGAACCACGTCACCGAAACTGAAACCGACACTGTTCATCGACTGCCGATTTCTAGTATGCGAGGGATGTGAGCTCTTGCTGGACCTTGGAGTCGACGTTGGCCGTCTTCTTGGCCTCAGCCATCTGCCGGCGGATAGCCTTCTTGCGCTCGTAGTATGCGGCACCCTTGACCTTCCTGCGCTCCTCAAGACTGCGGGTGGATTAGTATTTCTGATCTCGCTAGCGTGGAGTGGAGCGACATACCGGGCAACGACGTCCTGGTACTTCCAGCCAAACTCGTGTCCGAGACGGCCGACAGTGCAGTACTTGCGTCCGGGCTTGAGCCTCAGCACCCTCAGGGCTTGGGGAACGACGACGCGCTTCTTCTTGTCGTAGGGAGCGGGGACACCCTCGAAGGTCTTCAAGCGCTCCATGGCGGCCTTACCGCGAGGGGTCTTGTGAGGAATCATACCGCGGACGGTTCGCCAGAACATCTTGGAGGGAGCGCGGAAGTGGAAGGGACCTGGCGGGTGGGTCAGCACATGTCCGCTAGTAATGCGCACATTCGAGTTTAGACTGCGAATGCGCCATGTATGGACGGGGAGACGTACCACCACGAGTGGGGTTGTAACGGGTCTGCTTGCGCAGGAAAGCAGAGTACTTCACTGTAGGGTCATGTCAGTTGCTGTCTTGCCAGAAAAATGTCCCGAAAGCGCTCCGCCAAGGAGCAGCCAATGTGCACATTGCGGACCACGTTATCCTCTTGTAGCCCCATGCACCAATTGCACTCCATGGCTTGCTCCTGATCTCGCTCGCTCGTTCGGTAGGTGTACGTACACTTGGCGCGGAAGAACTCGCCGGAGATGTTGAGGGCCTCGCATCGCACAACAACGATCTTCTGGCCGTTGAGGAGCTGCTTGGCGACGGTGCTGGCGAGGCGACCGAGCAAGTGGCCCTTGCCGTCGATGACCTGCGTGCGCTGTCAGCGAGACGTCCAAGGAAGATGCGAAGTGTTGACGGGATTGCAGGCTGGCATCGCGGCGGCGTGCGAAGGCCAGTGCCTGAGATATCGGACTGCGTCTATCGGGGCGTACGTACAATGACGGGTTCGAATGTCGACATTTTGCTCGACTCCGGTGTGCTGTGAGGTTAGTTGTCGTGATGGAGAGCTCGATGGATGCGAATTCCAGGTGGCTCGACTAAGCGAACTGAATATTCGAGTTTGTGGTGCACGGACCCATTAGCGTGACTTCACCTCCAACGAGAGACCTCGCCCATCACCAACGTCTGCATGACAGGCAACGCCAACAACGAACGCACGTGTTATCGCTCGCGAAGTTGTGTGACGCAGCAGTTCAAATACAATGGACGCTTTTCGCCGCAGCGAACTGTCGCAGTATCTGGTGGAGCGTCTGCTTGTACCTTTATGTCAGACGGACGCGTTCCAGGGTCATTGAGGTTAATTGAACGGCTTCGACTGAGAAAGAAAGAACCATCCAGATCTGGCTTATGTCTTCCTGTTAGAGATGGATTTCTGAACGACCTCGACTGCTTCAATCAGGTTACCCTCTCATCGCACAACTCCGTCTGCTTGTTTGCAACAGTCCGAGCTGCTCATGCTGCCACTACTGCGTCCATGCCAATACAAACCGACTTTAATATCTGGGTACATTGCCGACCTGCAAGCTGCAAACCTCCTAAGTCCAAATCAAGGACCAGCACTCATCATCGTTCTGATCCGATACTCTTGTCAGATGCGCATGTTTCTATCGATCTCCAGCATGTGTCTGTCTTCAACATGTCGAACGGCAATAATGTAGGTGCTTTTGCAATGGTCGGCTCTGTTTAGAGACAGGAGAGAACGAGCCAGAGCCAGAGCCAGAGCGCAACGATGTTGTGTGTCCGATGCCTTTGAACATTGCCGCTCACAAGTGTATAGTCGTTGTTGTCTTTGAATCGTACTCAGGTACACATTGCGATACGTGTCGGTACTAAGGGAAGGGCCTACAGGTAACTCTGTTAATCAAAGATGATGAGGATAGCGTAGACTGAGTTGCAAAATGGATTTTGCGCCCCATCTAGTTTATGTTAGGCAGGCACGCCTCCCAGCTCTACCACGCGCATTAGCAATCCTCGTAAGCAGAAGCGTCTGCAAGAACAACCACGACCCACGCTGTCGCAACGCATTCATACATCGAGTCAGCCATCATTAGCTGTCTCGGCAATTTCTTTACGATGGTAACTGCACTCTGCCTTGTCGCTTGTGCTAATGATGCCTGAAGCGCATGTCCCCATCTTGCAAGCCAGTGCATTTTGTCGTTGGCACCAATGTGCTTGTGTTGTACACGCAATGCTTGTGTGCACTCAGTAACCTCGGGCCTTAGATCTAGATTCTCCATCACGGCTCTCGAACGGATGCTAACGGCTCTTAGTTGACGAAGACTGCTTGTTCCGAAACCAACAACATCCCGGTCTTCTTAAGGTTTGTGGACTATCGACGGCTACCATATCTTTCGCCTCTCGTGATCCGTAGTATACTTGCTCGATTTACAACAACGAAGTCTTGGCTATGTATAGTTGCCTGTCGCTAATAGCTGGTAGTATCGGGCTACCTAACCAATCCGGCAACCCATTCATTACTCCCGGCTTCTTCCATTAGTTTCAACATCTGTCACAACCTCGTCATTCGCTCAAACTGTGCATCGGACGGAGGACAGGCAGAGCACGGCTAATCTCATCCGTGCATTTTGAGAAACCTGCGCTTATGTGAAGCCGTCGATACGCTTTCTACTAGGAGTACGGACAGATTCCGCCATGCAGTTGTAAACGCTCCAATAAACACCAATTTCCACGGTCATACTGATCTCGTCATAAGGATGCTCACCCGTCGCCTGTGTACATCGGGATCCAGAATTACCTACGGAGGCTGATCCGTTAGTTTGTGCTCTACCAAGCCGTAGTTTTGATCTCGACCCTTCCTCCGGATCCAGATCGCCCACTACGTCACGGCATGGGGAAAACGTTCCGATGATGGACCATAGGGCTGTCTCGATGCCGAAGTCGGATTCGCGACCAGGATGAAGCTAACGCCAGTAAGTCTAGAGCTGGTACCATTTATGGGTGTATTCAGCCCGAAGCTTGTTATTGTCGAACATGACAAGAACACAGAATTTTCTTTCGCGATTACCATCACATTACAGGGTACGCTGATCGTGGTTCACTAAACACATCTCGATTGCGGTCCTACTGCGGGTGCGATGCTTAAATTGTCGATCACACGGGCTGCATGGACCTGCAGTAAACGTCACATTAGGAGCCAAGGAGCCTCATGTAAATGCATATTCTGATAGTTCATCACGCTACGCCTCGATTCGAGATGTTACCTGACAGCCCCAGCGGACGAGTCACCGGTGATCGGCTCCCTGTCCTGTAGATTGCATTGGCTTTTACGTACAGCACCTAGATATGGATGGCTGACCGTTCGCTCAGGCGCAAGCTAAGCACATGGACAGCATCCTTGCAAGGTCTCTCGCAACGACATGTGCAGCATCGTCATGCGCCACATCTCGAAGCGATCGCGAGACGGGCTTCGCTTGGCGTCATGCACACATTCTCCTGTTCAGCCACGTTTCACCAAGACCGAGCCATGACTTGGCCCATCTCCCAGACAATTTTGCGCCACTCCTGACGTAGCTTGGCTCATTGGCAGGTGACCATCAGCAAGAAATATCGTGCGTTTCTCTCTTGGCTGTGTGGCTAGTGTTGTGGCTAAGGCAGCAATACGACCAGCCCAATGCCAATGCTAACGGCATTCGAATTGAACGCCGTCTATGACCTGCCAGTGCACCCGCCGAGTCAGCGCGCGACCACCCGACGGGCGAAAGTGGATGCAATAAGCGATCCGCTGAGTCATCCGGAAGTCGGCACGCATAATTCAAGACAAGCACCACTAAAACTCGTAGGGTGTCCCAATAACCACCGTGTGGGCTTCACAACCGCAAGCGTGGCAGTGCCAAGGGACCTCGGTATTACATGAGTCCATCATCGGTACCTCCGACAGGACTACTCGTAGGAATCCATATATATGCATGTTTGCAGTTGTGGCGAGAGATCGCTTGACAAGCATCGCAAACGGTCGTGGAGAATTAGGCGACATGCACCAGGAGGAACATGCATAAACGACCCTGCTTGAGCAGAGTTTGACTTCCAGATATCTCATCTCTCGAAGGATTTCCCACTTGGCGATTCGACACGCTCTACAATATTGGCAGATTGTATTCATGGGGAAACTAAAGCGGTAGTTGGCCCCACTGAACGTTTTAAGCACATTTCAAGGTGGTTACCCGAAAATGAGCAGACACGGAGAAGAAGTGGTTTGACTGCCATTGTCCGAATGCGCACAGCAGATGGGATGCGGCTGTAAATACTTCGCTTGTTGTATACTTTCCTATTTGTGGGAGAAGCAAAGGCATGGCAGGGTCGTGTGCGACGTCTGTCTGCCGGTGTACTGCAGACAACGGCCAGGGTCACCAGCCGCAGTCAAGCCACGCTGTCACCATCATGGCGACTTTATC